AATGTTTGTATTGCCATAATCCTTCTTTCAAGGCTTATTTCTCCCTAATCAATTATAATTCGTAATATTTTTATAATTCTCAATCCCGGAAGTACCAAAAATATCAGTTTTTGGTCAAAATTTGATTGTTGTATAATTTGGTATGATCAAATAGCATCTCAATTCATTTACCATCTTAAACGTGTAGGCTTTGCTTGGTTTCTATGGCAGGACAAATGAATGTGTTGTTGATATCTGTTAAGAACTGCCAGACGTTTATGAACATATCAAAGATGTTATTTAGTTAAGCAAAATCAAATAGAAATTCTCTTTTGGCAAGGAATATGTATGTTGAGCTATACCCGAATCGTCGAATTCCGAACATCCAAATGTTTAGACGATTAGAAAGGAATTTGAGGGACTGTGGTGCATTTGACAGAAAGGAAACAAGAAAATGTGTGGTTACTGGAAGTGTGAGAAATCAAATAAATGGTATGAGTAAGCAAATATTTCCATATTAAAATTTACACAGTAAAAACTTTTTTTTTAATTTAGGATAATGTATCTTGTTTGGATACACACATAAATTAGAAAATAGAATCGAACAAAAAATACAGAAAAAGAATATTACCACTCCAACAGATAAAACAACACAACGATGGACTGCATTCACTTACATAGGTCACCAAATGAAAACATTAACAAACATCTTCAAATCCTTGAACATCAACATCACTTATAAGCCGAACACGAAAATAACACAAAAAATAAACAGTTATGAAAAAGAAGAAGACAAAAACCGAAACGGAGTGTACACCATAGAATTCTCGGACTGCAACAAATTCTGTATCGGCCAAACCAAAAAAAAAAAGATCCAAAGGTACGACGAGCACAAAAAAGCATAACATATAAATCGAACCTCGCAACACGCGCCATACAAAAGAAAACTTTCCCCCACCAGAAAACATCAAACTCATAAAACAAGTCAATAAAGGAAACCGTATGGACATCTGGGAAAACCTAAACATCCATAAATTCAAGTCATAATTCACTTATCGAGGAACAAATACAAATCAAAACACAAGACCTAACATTGAATATACTACACAATACAATACACATTCCTAAAAACAGTGAACCTAGAGAAAATCCTAACACAAAGGATATTTACCTGATGTAACCCAAATACAGGCAAATTTACCTTCAGTACCTGCACCAAGGATTCTAACCGCATAAAAGAACAAACAAGAAGATGAAACGTTCAGTTTGAGTAGAACCAAGAAGATGATAGCACAGCCAGCTATCGAAAGCGCTCGCATATAATAAATAGAAGTTATAAAGCTTCAAATCTTTTTTGTGACATATGTTAATTTATGTCGAGGTTATCCTCAAAATATTCATCCAATTATAGTAAGTCTTTTTGACCAGAATTGCCTTCAAATTTATCTTAAAATATAGTAGTGACACATTCTATTGAACTTTTAGGTAACTTGTTATACATTTTCACTCAATTATTTATAACAGAGTTCTTGTTTTGACTACTTGCTGGGATAGGAACCTTTAATTGGCAAGCTTGTCTAGTTATGTGGTGAGGCTCAGAAGTAAAGGTATAGTCGAAGTAACCGGTATTGTACATAGTTAAAGGTGTCGGCGTTCTCAAAGGCCAAAAAACCAATATAGAGAAATAAAGCCGCTGCCAACGAGTCCACGTGGACTGAAGAATTGGCGGTTCGTATTGGATAATTTTTACTAACCGAGTTTTATGATTTGCTGAAGAGTCATAAAATTAAATTTGAAGTCATGTTACGGTGACGAATAGAATGCAAGGATGGTTATAGCAGTCGTGTTGTTAATGTTTGTTATCTGTTTAAAATATGGCGTCCTTGGAAGTACTAATAGTAATAACGAGTGTGATAACAATCAGATTTGACTGAAATTCCCTTCTCAACTGTACGTGAAATAGTCAAATCAAAAACAAACCTTATGAACGCAAGACGCGGTGTGATACGGGATTACCAAAATCTTTAGATTTTCATCTGATAAAATCATTGAAAAAACAATATACCTACGACTGTTACAAAAGCAATGAGATTCCTACAACTGAAATCATAAGGAAGAAATTGAATACTTCCGGTCATACGTGAGCTGCTGTGACAAAACTCTTCAAAATTGGATTAAAAAAACTAGGATTTAGATTTAAAATAATAAACAAACGTCAAACAGTCATGGAAATCAGAAGAATAGTGGAATTGCGTAACAAATACTTAGAACAAATAACTAAATATAGACAAGAACAACAGCAAATTTTCTATTTGGACGAAACTTGGTATGACACTCACAGTTACGAAAAGGTGGACTGATGGTCCGAGAATGTGTACGCCTAACATGCCTGCAAACAAAGGATCGCGACTAATCATTGTGCGTTGCGGAGAAAGTGATGAGGAGTGATTAATTTGTTTATATTCAAATGGTCATTACGTCTTATTTTAACTAATTTCTCAATCATCATTGCAAGAGTTGGTTGTAAAGATATTGGTCTTAGCTCTGATGGATCATTAGGATCACGGCCCTCAGGCCTCAGACCTCAGACCATTAATGTTTTAAAAAATTGCGGAAATACTCCATGCCTGAAAGTTTCGTTTATGAGTTGAACAAGAACCTGTAGAGCGCAATCTGGTAAGTTTTCAAATATTCTGATAGACAAATTGTCAGTTCCGGGTGTTTTTTTGTTGCTCAGGTTAATGATGATTCTTTTCAGTTCCCTTACATCGGTGTTATAAAAAATGCATGGTTAGTTGATTGATACTGTTTGAAGGTACATTAATAGATCTCGTATAGGTTTCAAGCTCTCAGTTAATTTCTCAAACATGGAACAGTAAAAGTCATTAATAGTGTCAGGATGTAGGGAAATATGTGGAAATTTTTGGTTATTGTTCATTTATTGACAATATTCCATGTTTCTTTCATTTTATTAGCAGCATTATTCATTCTGTCTTTGTAATATATATCTTTTGCATTTCGTATTACTCCTCTATAGATTTTTCTGTACTTATTGAAATATGTTTCAAAAGCAATACTGTTCAAGGATTCCTTATATAATGAAGAGATTTCATATTTTTTGAAGAAATTCTAATTCCTGAGGTGATCCAAGGTTTCTTATTTTTTATTTTTATTTTCTGAAGTGGAAATGCTATTTCGAAAAATACACTAATTTTTTGTGATAGATTTCGAAAGGAACTTCGTTCATGAAAACTGTCTCCCATTTGAAATTAGAGTGTGCAATTTTGTATAATTTGTTTTACTGAAAAGTTGACCAAACTGAATGTTGATATTTTTATTTCATTGGTTCATTTCCAAAGAACCCAGAATGGCATCATGATCGGAAAGATTACATGAAGTGACATTATAAACTATGTCAAGCTCATTAAAAGTGGTGCAAAAGTAATATATCAAGGTGGAAGAATAGCAGGATGATCGAGTAGGTGATTCAACATGCATTAACAAGTTAAACGAATTTAATAGAGAAACTAATTTTTGAGTGTCTAATGAATTTTTATCTTGATTTTGGGAGGATTTTCGAAAGAAGGTACCCAAACTTATATAAGAAAATATCAACATTGAAGGACGGCGTACGCTATATTCATGTTGCAAAGATATTTCTTTTCTGGTTATGTGTACCGGACATTTCAAAAGTTTTTTCCTCTATTATATAGTTGTATTCAACAAGTTTTGAGAGACATTGAATAAAGAACTGAACTATGAAGGAGAACTATTTCTGCAAAAAATAGAAGCTACTGTGTAATCAGGAATTATTAATGACTCACCATTTTTGAGCCAGTGCTCTGTCAGGAAAACAACTTTACGGCATTTCTGGTCTCCCAGGAATACATACAATTCGTCTATCTTGTTTCTAATTGATTGTATATTTAGACACAAAAAAAAGTAAGATGTGACTCATCAGTGATGAGTTGCTAATTTATAAAAAAGAGGCATTATTACTATTTGGCAGTGAAACATCATGTTGAGTATGCACTGGTGTCTAAAAGTTGAAATCTTCATCTTCACCCATAGGTTGTGTAGCTCTGTCTTCTGTTTGGTCGTCAACAATACTATGACTGGAGAAATGGTCATTAATGTGATTCAATATCTTTCTTGCCAAGAATATTGTTCCCATATCATTGATGACTTGTCCATTTTTATAAAAGTTACTTTTTCTCGGCCCAGAATTACAATCAATCATATGTAAGGATTTAATTTGGCATAAATTCAGTTCCCTGTGCACAGTGTTTGGGCAAACTTCTTATTTTCAGCAAAATAAAATTTTATTTTGACTTTTTGCTTTTTATTCAAAAACAAAACTGACAATAATAATATTGGTAACTTTATAAAACAATAAACAATCTCAACTTCAATACTAAATGTGTAATTAATTCACAACACACAGAAGGATTATTGTAATACACATTCGTGTTGTGTTGTTTATCATACGTAATCCAGCTTTCTCAACATGTTTCGTGTGATATAGCCATGCCCTGGAGCCGAGTTTTTTTCCCGGATATAATATTTCAAAATATTCTTCTTCATCTAATTGAATGTATTATTTTTTTGTACGGGTATCTGCGAAAAGAAGTTTTCGTAACAATCGTTTACATTTTCATAATGATTGCGGTCGAAGTTCAAGTTGACGCTTTCTTTGTAGCTTTTTTTGAAGTTTTTAGCAAATATGTAAGCTTTTTCGGAAGTTAGCTCATATTCAATATTGTTTTCTATAATATTTTTAGTATGTACTCCATCCTTTTTGTATTTCGATAATTTCCGTATTTCATTCCAATAGGATTTGCCCCTCTTTTTAGGAATGGCCTCACATATTTGAATCCATTTGTGGGTTCTGTATTCTTGAATCAAATTCTGAATGTCCTTGTTAAACTTATTAATTGAAGCTTTAGACGTTGAATCTCTGTTCTATATTCATGATACGTCTTACTTTTTTTCTTAATCAAACTCACAATAAATGGGCGAAGTTCATGTGTACAGAAATTATATTTATTTTGTGTATATTCTATAAATGTTTCCGACAATTCATTACAAAAGTCTATTATTTGTTGATGGTTGTTTTCATCTTCCAAAGTATATATGTACCGCATCATGTAGTCATTCGCTTTCTCCATATCAGTTTGTTGGAAGTTTTCTTCTGCTTGTCATTTTCTCCAATGTCGAAAGTTATTTTGAGATGTGAATGATCAGATTCTAGATCGGGTGTTACCTCTGGTTCTAAAATATATCTAAATATATATAACTCAAAGATGACTGACTGACTGACATAGTGATCTATCAACGCACAGCCCAAACCACTGGACGGATCGGGCTGAAATTTGGCATGCAGGTAGATGTTATGACGTAGGCATCCGATAAGAAAGGGTTTTGATCAATTCTACCCCCAAGGGGATAAAATAGGAGATGAAAGTTTGTATGAATCTTTGTCAATTTTGAACCGATCGGGCTGAGACTTTGCATGCATAAAGCTACTATGACGTAGGCATCCCCTAAGAAAGGATTTTGATAAATTTCACCCCTAAGGGGATAAAATAAGGGATGATGGAGGATGTAAATGTATTAATTTGAACCTATCAGTACCTAATGGTCCGAATAAATTATGACGAACAAAATAATTTTTAGTTCTAAATGTTGACAATAGATGGCGTTAGTAATATTTTAAAACGCGCTATCGTTGTGTTTTTACTGAGTTACATATACCCGATGATGAGTGGCCACCGTATCTAATAGTACATACTTTACCTAAATATTTCTAGCGGATTATATTTGACGATTTTGGCTGTTCTTTTCTTGGTATATTTTGGATTGCATTTGCTTCGTTTCGGTTTAGTAGTTTTGGTTATAGACTCTGCTTTGTATTTGGCATTTGTTTTGTTTTCGTTTGGTTTAAGTATAGGTTTTGTCGGTTAGACTTTTTTAAAATGACTAAAGAAAATCTGAACGTTAATGGAGAAGTAGAAGAATGTACTGTCGTCCCTATTGTTGGTGACGGTGCATGTTTGTTTCGTGCTCTCTCTTATTTAATGTACGAAACACAAGATAGAGCGATGGAGGTGCGTTCAGAAATTGTCAGATATGTGGTTAATGACTGGAGCAAGATTTCAATTATGACCCACGACAGGAATGGTGATAACTACGTAACACCTGACGATAACACCTGCTGATGAAAAATGCTACTTATGGCGGATTTTGTGAGTGCTCTAGCAGCAGGATTAAGTTCGAAGTTTATAGAAACGGTCTCATATATACGGAATCTGGATCTAACGACCGGTAAGACGATTACGATTCAGCAAAGACTTGTCCAGTGGGCATTTTGATGCCTATCTTCCCATAGCAGCACAGAAAATTACTCGGCGTCGTATGGAGGTAGCTGTAGAAGAACATGATTTTGGAATTGATACACCTTCGCAACTTAAAGTTGATAAGGGTTGTCAGAAGGTACCTGTTTTAGAGCGTGAACATTCACCTATTGTATTTTCAATAAATTATGATAAACATTTAATAAGAAGTTTATTGTCCCAATCTGAGTCTGTGCCATTAATAGAAAAAAGAAAAACAAACGTAGGGCAATGTTTGCTAATTACACACGAAAAAATAAAATAAAAAAGGCACAAAAACATGGACAGACTCTACCTGAATCCCACTGTAAAGCTTTTTCTGAATATAAGAAAAAAACCGATGTACAGAGGCAAGCTGTCGCCACCTACCTGGCTGCACACCCTGAAAAACACAGGCCATCTATCGCCACCTACCAGGCTGCAAACCCTGAAAAACACAGGCAATCTGCTGCACTATATCAGGCCAGGAATACCGATGTGCAAAGAGTGATTCAGTCACGGTATAGAGAAAATACAATTCAGCGTGTATGGAGAAGCAAGTTCCTTTCGGGTTTGGCGTATGACCCACATATTGCTTATGGAACTGACAGCAGTGTAGTCTTAGGTTCTATGACGTACAAGTGTCAATGGTGTATGCCTTGAAGTGGAAAGATGAGACACCTGGCATGTGTTGTAGCGCCGGTAAAGTACCACTTGAGCCATTTAAAGAACTGCCTGAACCACTTTACAGTCTGGTTAATGATTTACACCCAAATCATGTACATTTCATGGATAATATCCGAAAATATAATGCCTGTTTTCAAATGACTTCCTTTGGTGGAAAACAAATAAAAGAAGGCGGTTTTTCACCAACTTTTAAAGTTCAAGGACAAGTCTATCATTTAATTGGAAGTATATTACCGGAACCTGGGCAGGATGCACAGTTTCTGCAAATTTATGTCGTCGGTGAAGATGATAGAGAGCTAATATTCGATGTTCTAAATTTCCTGATTTGACACCAAATTTAATCAAACAATTGCAGCTTATGTTACATGAGGTGAAGCCATACATAAAAGATCTAAAAACAGCCATTGATAAAATATTGCCTTCAGAGTCATTCAAGGTCGTGATACATGCAGATAAAAAACCACAAAGAGAACACAGGCAGATTTAATGCACCAACGGCAAATGAAGTGGCTGTTGTATTGGTAGATCAGCATTTTGACCGAAGAGGCATCATCACTTCAGCGTATCAGTAAGATACATCGAGCTTATGACACGCTGCAGTACCCGTTGATGTTTTGCTGGGGGAATGATGACTATTCAGTCAACATACCACAATGCGATCCCACAACGAAGTTGCCCTAGAAAAAAATAGTCTCTGCTGTAAGTTTTTATTCATACTGAATAATGATCAAAGAAGAAGATAACTTTTTGGTTAAATATCGCGCTCTTTTTAGTCAATGTGAATGGTAGATGAATACGCAAAAATAAAAACTGAAAGACTAAACTACATAAAAAACAATCAAGCCAAATTGCGCGCAGATAATCATATTCATTTGAAAGATGCTGAAGCAAATCAGCTGGGACAAATGGTAGTACTTCCATCATCTTTTACTGGTGGACCAAGATACATGCACGAAAAAACGCAAGACGCCATGACCTATGTTAGACATTACGGTCGTCCCGACCTTTTTGTTACTTTTCATGTAACCCACGCTGGAGTGACATAAATGAGCACTTACTTTCAGGACAAAAATCTCATGTTCGATACGATATTATTTCGCGAGTATTTCGATTAAAGGTAAAAAAGGTCATGGATTTGTTGATAAAAGGGAAAATATTCGGTGAAGTGAGATGCTATATGTATTCGACGGAATGGCAAAAGCGAGGTCTTCCGCATATTCATATACTTTTATGGCTTCAACATCGCATCACTTCGGATCAAATTGACAATATTATTTGTGCTGAAATACCTAACCCCGATCGTGATCCTGAACTCTACGAAATTGTTAAAAGTAATATGATACATGGCCCCTGTGGAAGTTTAAACCGAAATTCTCCATGCATGAGATAATTCGTGCAGCAAACGTTATCCTAAGGCTCTTATTAAGGAAACTCAAACCGGTGTTGATGGTTATCCCATACCTTTCTGAAGACTTCAAAAAACAACTGGAAAGGCAAGGTGGCGTGGATGTAGAGCACTCATCGGACCTGATATTTAACAAATGCCTGTCGGTATTAGAGGATGCCGTATTATCATTAGGCGGCCGTCCTCTTAAAGAGTATGGATTACCTCAGCCAATAACAACAATACATTTTGAAAATAGAGAGTACGTGAAGGAGAACAGTAACGATACAGTGGCCTTAGAAGACGCAGTAAGAAAAAATGAAGCATCCTTGAATGACGAGCAACAGGAAGTTTACAATAAAATTATCACAAGTGTAGATGCAAATGACGGTCGAATATTCTTCTCAGACGCCCCAGGTGGAACGGGTAAAACCTTCCTTATTAATTTACTTTTGGCGAAAGTAAGAAGCACTCACGGCATTGCTTGCCCTGGCTGTGGCGTCGTCCGGCATAACTGCTACATTACTCGAAGGTGGTCGAACTGCTACATTACTCGAAGGTGGTCGAACTGCTCATGCTACTTTTAAGTTACCACTCAATTTAATCACTGCCGAGACTCCCATTTGCAACATCTCCAAACAAAGTAATTTTGCTGAAGTTTTAAAGAGTACAAAAATAATCGTGTGGGACGAAATAACGACGGTTCATGAAGCCTTAAACAGATCACTAAGGGATATAAGGAATAATATAAAATTAATGGGTGGGTGGCGTAACAGTTTTGCTGGCCGGAGACTTTCGGCAGACTCTACCAGTGGTGCCAAAAGGAACCAGAGCTGACGAAGTAAAGTCATGCATTAAGAAATCCAATTTGTGGCCCCAGGTTAATATTCTTAAGCTCTCTGAAAATATGAGAGTATATTTGGGCGGGGATGAGTCTGCTGGTAGATTTTCAGATCTCCTTCTCAAAATTGTGCACAGTTGTTACTACGGTTCAAGAATTGCTGTCTAAAGTTTATCCAGACATAATTCATATACATGACAAGTCTATTGAATGGGTATGTGAGCGTGCCATACTTACTCCAAAGAACGATCAAGCAGCAGCTATCAACGATATCCTGCTCATGTCGTTTGAGGGCGAAGAAAATGTCTATACTTCGATTGATACTGTGTTTAATACAGATGACGCTACTAATTACCCTGTAGAATTTTTTAATTCATTGAAACCGCCAGGTTTGCCTTGTCATAAGCTTATTCTGCGTGTTGGCACTACAATTATGTTGTTGCGAAATTTGAAACCACCAAAACTTTCTAACGGTACGAGACTGCAAGTGAAAGCTTTACATCGCAATATAGTAGAAGCCACTAAACTGGGTGTGAGAAAGGGGAAACTATTCATACCACGAATCCCATTAATACCTAATGATATCCCGTTCGAATTTAAATGATTACAGTTTTCTCTAAAAGTCTGCTTTGCCATGACAATAAACAAGTCTCAGGGGCAAACTCTCAAATTTGCGGGTATTGACTTGAGAGAATATTGCTTCTCTCATGGACAGTTTTATGTTGCTTGCTCACGAGTGAGTTCACCCAATAGCTTGATAGTTTTAGCGCCTAATGACAGATTAGTTAAGAATATTGTGTACAAAGAAGTTTTGTAGACCCTAAACAAAAGTAAAGCCCCAAAAACTATACCTAATTAATAATAATACTTCTTGACACGAGCGAAGCCGCAGGCAAAAGCTAGTTTGATATAATGTTATTCGTATGTAGTAATACATCTGGAGTTGTGTCGCTGTTGTTTGGCATAATAAATGTTGGAGGAGTTTCCCATTTTTGAAAAGGGGCATTCTCCAGGAAGGTATTAGCTGTCTCTTCTTCATTCTATTGTTGACATTGAAATCTCCCATAATGATAGCATATTTATAGAGACATGCTTTTGTAAAAATGGCCTCTTCAATACGAGCTGATGGATGTATGTACATTAAAAAAATGTGCAGTTTGTCATCTAGGAAGGGGATTTGAAGTGTATGCATTCATTTAAATGATTGTTTATGGCTGGAGGATCTGCTCGTCTGGCTTTTAGTCGGGGGTGTGTTTGGACTAGAGTACTCCCTCTGGTCCGGTTATGTAATTGATTACCATTTAGATGTATAACTTTGGTCTTTGCTTCCACAAACAATGAGCAATCAATACTATTATTCTCAATGTAGTTGCAAATGGTGTATTTTCTGTATGAGTAGCTGTTTATGTTGCAACATAGGAGATTAATTATTTTGGACATGAATATGCTGGATATTATTGTTGACTGGTTTTGTTGGAGAGATGGGGCCTTCAGATCCAAGATCGAAGATAAGTATGTAAACACGGTGACCGGAAAAGACAGCTGTGGAATTTACATTGAAATTGTTTACAAATCTGTTTCTCAATTTTTGAATTAGTTCCTGTCTATTGGTGTATATTGGGTTGTTTAAAAAGTTTTTAAAAATTTTTTTTGAACAGTTATACAGACAATCATAATGATTGACAAAATATTATTTTATTTTATCAATATTGATTTAGAATATACTTCTGTTATATATAGTGCTATTTGAAATTTGAAAAAAAATAAAAATTTGTTCAGTTCATTGACATATGAGTTGATGATAAAGTCATGATATGTTAGGGCTTGGTGAATTCTGAAGTTTTCCTTCTCTTCTGGTATTTCATGAGATTTTTTGTTGATAGATTTAATTTGTATATTAGGTACACCTAGAATCGGTGCGGTGGTCTCAGCGGGCATTTAAATGACCACGCTTGATGTTCCACGGAACCACATCCTGTACATTTCGGTGATAAGGTGGAGGTACACTGGTTTCTTGGATGTAAACCCTGGCATTTCGGACATTTTGGTTGGGTGTTACAGGTTTCTGTTGAATTAGAGAAGAAAAGGCATTTGTTGCAAGGTTTTGGAGTTGGAGGGGGAGGTTTACTTGCATAAACTGGATAGTATCGAAATTTGTAGTAGAATCTCTGTGTTCTAATTATTTCATCAGTGACCTGAGAAAATAGTTTTTCCCATATTTTACAGAATGCTATTCTGGAATATCCTGTATCTCCAGCTAGAAAAAAAGTGTGTATTTTTTATGGGTAATTTCTTTCTTCAATGGTGAGAAGTTTCTGTATTATCGGTTTTTTGGATTGGAATAAATTCATCATCTGTTTTTTTTGTGAAGGTTGAGGGATTGGAATTAGTACAGTTGGGTGAAGCCAAAATAATTCGTTAGATTTCTTCTGGATTTCGATGACTTCTTTTAGAGGCACTTTCCAGACGTTTTCTTGGTTTTCGTTTATGCATCACTTTTCTCCATTGTCCATCATCCTGAATTTCTATTTCACAGTAATATTCCTCTGTTTCGATATCCATAGTTGAGTTCTATATAATCACATGTACTAACAAGCAGGAGCAAAATAGGTGTTTACTCTTTGTCTGACAAATGTGAACTTGGTTCATTTGAATTTTTGCACAATCTTCCAATACATAGTATCAGGAAAACCATAATTTTCCCGTAGGTTGTTTACAAAATTCAAAAAGTGTTTCATGTTTGATGTCAAGTTATTTTCAATTCTTTTAATATAATCATCATTGCAAATTTTTGGCGCCAGTTCTCATCGGGCTCTGAAATCTGAAAATATTTGGTAGTCATCCCAATATTTACTAAGTTTATAGGCTTCATGAGTTTTTTCTTTTCAATAAAGAGTTTCTTTAAATCATTGTCAAACCAACAGGGAAATTTTGACTTGGTTTACCTACCATAAGGTACAAAGTTACATATACCCTCATACAAAAAATTATAAAAAATGTTTGGAGTCGCATTCATATCTGTTATATTTCTCAAATGATATTCCCAATCAATACCAGCTGAATAATAATTCAATCCAATAAAATTGGCTTTCTTAAGTGATGGTAATGCTAAATTTTTTCCATGAAAGCCTGCCACAATCAGAATTTTAGGTTTTGAAGAATCTGGTTTTATTCTCCAATGTGTTTTATATTTATAATCAGATGGAATTTCTTTGGATTTTTTAATACCATCCTTGTCATTATGTTTACTTAGTTTCCGTTTATTTTCGTTGATGGTCACTTCATAAGTGGAGCATGACTTGGTGAATTGATGGATTTCTTGAAATTTCAGTTGTTTCGTATAAAGGTTTTTTTCAGACGTCAATTGAAGTAATCATAGCTTCATTTGAGTGTGAAATTTCAACAAACTCTTGTTCATATCTTTCATTGCTGGTGGTCAGTTCTTATATTTTTCCTTGCAAGGTGTTTGTTTTCAATATTGCTGATTCGAGTTTCTTTAGTAGGTCATTGTTCTTCAGTGTAAATCTAGTCATGCAATTCTTTAGCCAAGTTATTTTTGTGATTTACTTCAAAAACAAAAGTTTCCTCTGCGTTCACAGCTTCATCACGAAAGTCAGTTGAAGCCCTTTGCAAACGTTGAATGTAAGAATATTTTTCTTCAGATTCCTCCTTCAGGTTTTTGATCATATTTGAGAGGTGCTCCATTTTTTCTTCCTGGCTTTTTCCTAAGTTCATTTTTTCAGGCATGCATATTTTCTTCTTCATTGCACTTTTTTTTGAACCTAATACATGATATCATTCTAATTTCAACATGTGCGATTTTCGGTTCAAGCAACTGTTATGAAATATTTACAAACATTGTACACAGCATACACTTGAACCCTCTTTGGTTTTGCAGCACTTAAAAGTTGGTGACATGTTTATTACTCTCAGTATGATGCAGTGGTCCTATATTTCCTGGACTGTTAGAAATACATATTACAATTCTCTCATATTCTCCTTATCAGTACGACACAAATCGGCATCAAATACCACTTGGTCAGATTACAGCTGATAATATTCCACCAAGAACATTTGTCTAAAACGTGGAGTAATGAAAACATTACTACATACTACTCAATAGAATACACTATCATTTTGCATATTTCCTACTTTATAAATTTAAAGACTTTTTGCACTCGAAAGGTTTCCGCTATATCACTGAAAGTTTTTCAAGTAATTTTTTTTCCTCTTTTATTACGACCATACAGATGGAATAGACCTAGTACATATAACCTTTGCCGTTACAACTTTTGCAGAGTAATTTAATTTTTTGTAGCAAAAACGAATTCAGATACTGATAACTCACCCACTTTTGTTGTGATTCATCCATTTGACCCTATAGTTATAAACATTCTTGAAACACTCTAGAATTTCTGACACTCAAAATATTTCAGGTAGATTGCTGATCACCCCAAGAATTATTTTTTTCTGTCTTTGAGGGTTAAACAGATTTAGAATATACCCATATATGTGAAGCTCAAGAAACTTTGGCACTTGAAAAATACTGAGATTACAGATATTGTGAAGTATTATAGGCTTCGTGTTGGAATACGTTACTACCTGATTCCAATTACCTTAAGAAATGTTGATCGTAAGAAGTTGAGTAAGAAAAACAATCTGACAACACCACCTGTATTTGCTCACCTATCCCACATAAGAGTTTCCTTACACCAGAAAGTGTGACTGGAAATCTGTGGCTGACTTCACGTTAATAAAAATCGAATATATCAAGGCCATAGACCAAATCATATTTATTATAATTTTTAGTGGTGAAACAACCCCTAAAATTGTGTCCTGAGGGATGAAAGGTTAAATACATTCGGCCAGAATGAGTGTACAGAGTAGCTTGTGTTCATTATTAAATGGTGTTGGTTTAGGATAAATATAAAACTGCTATAATTACAAACGTTGGTAGCACCCTCTTGGCGACGAGTGATATGCAAAAATATTATTTTTCTTAACAAAAATTACCTTTTCACAGACGTCTTGGCTTGTCCCATTCAAAAAACATACACTGTTTACTTATATTGTCTACTGTGTATAACATGACTCCATTCATGTATGAATATATTGCAACCAAGTTCAACCATCACTAGATCCATCTTTACACTTGGCTATTTGGTTGAAAGGCCAAAAAGTAAAAAATATATATGTATCTATATATTCAGCTATATCTACAAATTCCTTCCGTTTGATCAAAGACATTTCTGCTCGTTGACTAGTTATTACATTATATCTAACTCCCATAACACACAAGTAGTTATGATTGTCTCCAAGGGTTCTAACAGAAAATAAAAGAGCTTTTAGCTTCTGTGGTTGAGACTGGGTTTTTTATCTCAGTGAGGTCTCAATACGCAAAATACTATTTTTCTTCTAAGTAACTCTAGTACCATAAATTTTGAATATGATGATTTGCCATAATTGTTATATCAAATAAAGTGAAAATTATACTATTTTTTTTTCAGAACGGGCTTCCTATGAATACAGAAATGAGTAGATTACTTACAGCTTTGTCTGTCTCAACATTGTCTCCCGTCACTACTATTTTAACTTCATAAAACTTATCAATCCACTTATTGATTCTTCTTATTTGGGTTTTTAGGTCATTCTTATCAATATTTGGGCTAATCAAAAGAACTTTCTCTCCTTTAAGGCAATTTTGATTCTTTGTTCTACATTCTTTGCATTTATGATCTTCATTTTGATATTCTCTGAGTGTAATTAGTTTATAGATAGGTCTTTGAGTTTTTGTATCTAAGTCAATAACTTTAACCAGTATAAGGTCTCTTCTCTTGGATAATTTTTCAGCTTCTTCTAAAGTGGTGACTGACTGTTGCTTATTTCTTATCAGAGTAATCAAAGTAGCCTGATCTGACTTTCTTTTAACGTTTCCTTCGTTTTCTTCAGTCGACAAATGACGGATATATCGACATAAAAAATAGTTCGAAATTTCATTTCTCACATTAAATAGCTTAACTCGATTTTTAGCTCTAGAGAAAAATACACATAACGACATAATGAAAATTGGACCACAGAATACTAAACAATCAGAAGAACACTTGATAGTGCCACCTTTGCCACAGATTAAGTACGCGAAAGCTTTGATGCCGCCTTTGATGTTCGATGGCTCAAAATTCGTAACCTTGAGTATGATGTGTATACCACCTCGATATACACAAACAAAAAGGTTTGGTTGATTTCAACGATTTCCTCTCAATGTACACTGAAAAAACATACTTTCGCTATTCACAGAAAAAGTGATGGTATTATTAAATTTCACTAGTTCGGACTTCCATTGTCTAATATGTAAAATGATTTGAAATCCCCGAAACAACTAAAAAAGAAGATTTAAAAATAAATAACTGAAAATAACAATTATATTAAGCAAAAATAACCTCCTTCGGGAGGAATCAGTCCAGTCATCACCCGAAGACGATTGTAGATACTAACAATCGAAACGTCGTGAACTAACGTGGCTTGGAATCTCTTAACTTTTTTATTTATATTTATTTGTATTTCTTTATTTTTTGTTCAATGGTTTTAATTTTACTTGTATTTTATTTCACTATTATTTCATTTCAGGTTATTTTTGCTTAATATAATTGTTATTTTCAGCTATTTATTTTTATTTCTTCTTTTTTAGTTGTTTCGGGGATTTCAAATCATTTTACATATTAGACAACGGAAGTCCAAACTAGTGAAATTCATCATGAAACATTGTCAATCACCTTCAAACAAATGATGGTATTATTGTGGTACATTATAATGAAATTAAGAAACTCGAATATTGACAAATTTGATTACAGAGATAAGTAGATATCATCAATTAAGTTCAATAGTGAAATTTGATAAAAATTATGAATATTTTTAATCATTTTGTATATTACAAAAATTACACTTCTTATTGGTTGTGATAAATTTCATAGATAAACGAACAATACAAATAGCAAGCAGACTACCTTGTCATCCAGTAACTGGTGAACATAAACATAGGTTTTTCTAAATTATCAACATCTATTCTTCTTAAGCAAGAGACTTCTTATTTGAAGACTTGTTTGAAAAATCAAACAATCGGACTTGTTTATTCATTACATTCAATTAATTCAAATTAGTTCAAATAATAATTAATTCAAAGCATAGGTAATTATCAATAACAACATAAAATCTATTTCAATAGATACATTTCGATGAAATATGTGATAGATAAATGTTTATTTCACTACATTACATATATTTTTAGCAAGTAAAAAGTAACAACACTAATGAAAAGTAAAGTTTAAAAATAAATTTAACCAAAATAAAAAAATCAATTAATTACAATCACTAGACATATCATGAAAATACACAGAGAGGATACATTTTGATGAAGAAGTATATCAGTACCACAAAAAAATCATTAAAGGACTGACGACATTTACATCATGAGTAGGTCCTTTTGTGCAATATAATATATACAATAATATTTGAAAATAGGACGTGTTTATTAGTTAGCATTGGTACTAGTGACCTCAACAATAGCTATATTACGAAAAAGCATTGAGTTTTGTGCATAATGCGTTTGATAATACAGAATATTCCAGAGATCACTAATAAATGGCATCCGACGAAGACCAACGAGGAGGCTAAACACTTCTTCGTCAGGTTTGGAAGGAATATAATTACAAATTGAGCAGATGTCCTTCTGAGAACACAATATGTATCCAAATTCATCAGGTCTGGCTACACGAACACTGGTCTATTCTATTGTCGAAGTGTTGTTGGTCTACTCAGTTTATTACCATTTATAGGAAAAGGGGAATTTTGAGACTTTCAGTGTATAGAATATATTCAGTCTGATAAATAATTTGATTACATACAGTAACGGAAACTGAGAACAAAACTAAAACAAATTTTTCTCATTTCCTCCAAATATGAAAGTGATATGGGATTTCCTTTGCACAAATCATCAAATTCTGAAATAAACATCTCCAATTGATGAATGAAGTTAATGAAATCTTCACTAGGAGACCTAAGTCCACCATAACAACTTTGATTATTCTCAAACGCTTTGAAATGAGTGAATAATTTATTATAATCTGAATTATTAGCCTCTACCGAGTATACTCTACAAACTTCACAGCTGTGAACAATCAATGACTTTTTGATTAAATAACCACAGACATAATTGAAAGCATTCTGCATTGGCATGGGTTCTCGTCTGTAATCATAATCAGGAAGAGTTATTGATTTTTCGTCTTTTAAAGGCTTTGAAATTTTATCAGTGACTATAATATCATTAGATGTCATTGCAATTCATATTTGACGTATGAAAAAAAATCTGAAAAAACAGTTTTCTGAAAGCTCTTTCAAACTGGATGGGTGTAGGATTTACACAATTTCCTCCCTGCTGTCTAACAGTATCAAAAAAATGCTCAATTGCATCTTGATTCACTCTTCGAGTTTTCAGATTTTTGAAATTTACTGCTTGCAACTTTTCCCAGAGTTTGAACTTCGACTTAGAAGTAACATCATTTCCATCCTTATTCAAAATCCTTAGCTCACAAATGAAATCTATCATTTCTACCATGTATTGCATCTGATAATCAGACTAATCAAAAACATTTTTGAATTTATTTGGGTGATTATTGTCAGAAGAATTCAATAAATCAAATAATTTATCACATTTTTCAATTATGTCTATTGTTGCCATGGCATCTGCAGGAAGAGCCCCCAAACTCACATAAGTATTCATTGCACTAGGTACTGTTACTCAGAACTTGGGTAACAAGTTTGACTTTCAATTTTTCAAAATTTGTAGGACAAATATGTGAAGATGTTAGTTTAGGTGCACATCTATAGATTTGCTTTTTATCTTGCTGAAAAAACTTATCTATGAAGGACCATGATGTTTTCTTTTCATCAAAACAAAACGCTGAAAATTGTATTGAAGATCAGATGACAGAACATCATTTTATTAATTGAATTAGGACGTTGATCTGAAAAACTAATACAGTAATACGTATTTTGAGTTTTAGGTCGAGCTGCGAAGATCGAATCAGGTGTGCAATTTCTTTTTCTATTTCCTTTGTACTTATTTCTTTATTCTAGTGGGTTATTTGAGTTTTAATACTTTGATTTATCGTTGGGAAGTACATATAACTGCGAATTAAATAATTAGTTGTAGTTTTTCTACCTTTTTTTTTACTATAAAAAAAAGGAGAAAGGTGCTGAAGTGCTGTAGACATGTTAGGGGGAGAGGGGGAAGAGTCATCTTCCCCCATAAAACGAATTCATATTGATAATGAAGGAAGCCATAACAGGGATAGTGTTGATGAAGAGGTATGGAAAATAATGAGTCAGGCAGATCGCCAGTCGCTATCAAGAACCTT